AACATATGCAACACGCTCTGGCTGATCAACAACATATGCAACACGCTCTGGCTGATCAACAACATATGCAACACGCTCTGGCTGATCAACATATGCAACACGCCATGGCTAATCAACAACATATGCAACACGCTCTGGCTGATCAACATATGCAACACGTTCTGGCTGATCAACAACATATGCAACACGCTCTGGCTGATCAACAACATATGCAACACGCTCTGGCTGATCAACAACATATGCAACACGCTCTAGCTGATCAGCAACATATGCAACACGCTCTGGCTGATCAACATATGCAACACGCTCTGGCTGATCAACATATGCAACACGCTCTGGCTGATCAACAACATATGCAACACGCTCTGGCTGATCAACAACATATGCAACACGCTCTGGCTGATCAACAACATATGCAACACGCTCTGGCTGATCAACATATGCAACACGCTCTGGCTGATCAACATATGCAACACGCTCTGGCTGATCAACATATGCAACACGCTCTAGCTGATCAACATATGCAACACGCTCTGGCTGATCAACATATGCAACACGCTCTGGCTGATCAACATATGCAACACGCTCTGGCTGATTAACATATGCAACACGCTCTGGCTGATCAGCAACATATGCAACACGCTCTGGCTGATCAACATATGCAACACGCTCTGGCTGATCAGCAACATATGCAACACGCTCTGGCTGATTAACGTATGCAACACGCTCTGGCTGATCAACAACATATACAACACGCCCTGGCTGACCAACAACATATGCAACACGCTCTGGTTGATCAACAACATATGCAACACGCTCTGGCTGATCAACAACATATGCAACACGCTCTGGTTGATCAACAACATATGCAACACGCTCTGGCTGATCAACAACATATGCAACACGCTCTGGCTGATCAACAACATATGCAACACGCTCTGGCTGATCGACAACATATGCAACACGCTCTGGCTGATCAACAACATATGCAACACACTCTGGCTGATCAACAACATATGCAACACGCTCTGGCTGATCAACAACATATGCAACACGCTCTGGTTGATCAACAACATATGCAACACGCTCTGGCTGATCAACAACATATGCAACACGCCCTGGCTGATCAACAACATATGCAACACTCCCTGGCTGATCAACAACATATGCAACACGCTCTGGCTGATCAACAACATATGCAACACGCCCTGGCTGATCAACAACATATGCAACACGCTCTGGCTGATCAACAACATATGCAAAACGCTCTGGCTGATCAACATATGCAACACGCTCTGGCTGATCAACAACATATGCAACACGCTCTGGCTGATCAACAACATATGCAACACGCTCTGGCTGATCAACAACATATGCAACACAATCTGGCTGATCAACATATGCAACACGCTCTGGCTGATCAACAACATATGCAACACACTCTGGCTGATCAACATATGCAGCACGCCCTGGCTGATCAACAACATATGCAACACGCTCTGGATGATCAACAACATATGCAACACGCTCTGGCTGATCAACAACATATGCAACACAATCTGGCTGATCAACATTTGCAACACGCTCTGGCTGATCAACAACATATGCAACACGCTCTGGCTGATCAGCAACATATGCAACACGCTCTGGCTGATCAACAACATATGCAACACGCCCTGGCTGATCAACAACATATACAACACGCTCTGCCTGATCAACAACATATGCAACACACTCTGGCTGATCAACATATGCAACACGCTCTGGCTGATCAACAACATATGCAACACGCCCTGGCGGCTCATCAGCAACATTTGGAATTTTTTAGCCTCGCCCTGACGTCAGTTATTGGTCTCTTGGGTATCCCCTTTAAACTTTAAGGGAAGATGCTGAAAAGTCTTGGTTCATTTACACTTATATTTCAGTATAATCATCACACTGCTTTACATTTCGGTATTTAACACCAACTCCCGAGTTCTAGCTTTCATAGGGAATTATTTCGTTATGAAAATTTGCAACCAATTCTTCCAGAATTTTCCGGGTGTTAATTGTATCTTTCTTGCCTACATCTCAGAGAGTACAAAGCGAGGAATTTCCATCACTTTCAGTAACTTAGGCTCTCTCTACAATCTCCAGATTTGCAATATCGCCCGTCTTTTAAAGGCACTCTTAATATGCAATAATATTCAAGTCTAGAGGGGTAAAAATAAGAAGAAAAAGTATCGTTGATGGCTTCGCATCTCTTGTTCTGAAGATTCTAATTATCCTCCATCATCTTTGTGGTTGTGATAACTGCATGTGAACTCCCATTCCATTGATAAGTTTCAGTTTAATACTTCCTTCAATATTATTTGCTCAAATATTTCATAGCAAAATAATTGAAATTCACTGAATATCATATTTATTTTGGTTTAAAATTGTCTGGAGATTTGCAAATATATCTACACATTTTTGAAGTTCTTAGACGCATCCCGCATAGCATTTTCCGATACAATCACCCAAAATATCCTAAGTATTGTTAACATTTAAAATATTATCGAGAATAATGTACAGAGTCCACAACACATCCATAACATAAGATTCGTTATGAACAATTCAATTGTTATATTTTTTACCTTTCCTTGTACAAATTTGTCACTATATATATTCCTGTTGTTACCTTAATATTCAAGCCTCGAATGCTTTATCTATAAGGTGACTGCCCCAAACACTGTCTACTTTGATGATAAATTAGACACATGTGCAACTCTTGGGTATCTTTATTGAGGAAACGTTTCGCCATTCATCTACATACCTGTCAGACACTGCAACTTCTTGGGATTTTAATACTTGGGATTTCTTCGCTTGCCTGACTCTTGGGTACTACTTACTTCCACATGGACAAATGTGACACCACCTACGACTGCTGCACCTCTCCTGCCTATGGTATATAAGCCACTTCTCCGCTCATATGCTGTATTCTATTCAAGATTGATGGACGGACTAACCACATCGACTCAAGGTTGAGGGACTGATTACCTCATTCTCCTCCTGCTCTTCACGATTCTCCTTTGTATGGACTGATGAAGCCAGTGTGTGGGGAAACGTTTTCTCAATAAAGATACCCAAGAGTTGCACGTGTGTCTAATTTATCAACATGTCATTTCTCTGAGCCATTCATCTACATAACTGTCTGCTTTGCATGTACGTCTAAAGAACTTGAGAAAGAAGGAACACTGCAGCATACCTACTGGCCCTTGCGAGGCAGGTCCAAGTCACCTACCGGCTTGAGCCACTAACCCAACCTAGTCAGGTCCAGGTCACATCCATTTAAGGAAGGAGCACGGTATCAGACCTACTAGCACAAACTAGTCAGGTCCAACTCACACCCACACTCACTCATGTATTTATTTTTAAAACTACGCAACGTTATAGCTTCTATGACGGTACTCGGGAGTTTGCTCCACTCATCCACAACTCTATTACCAAACCAGTGCTTTCCTATATCCTTCCTGAATCTGAATTTTTCCAACTTGAAACCATTGCTGCGAGTCTTGTATTGGCTACATATTTTTAGCACTATTTCCAGTCTATTTATTCCTTATTTCCATTTATACACCTCAAAAATATCCCCCATAATTCTGCGCCTTTCTCGGATCAGATCTGATTACGTACCGCTTCGCCATCTGTATTTTAATATAGAGGTCGGGCGGTAGGCATCAGGGATCAGGTGAAAATAGTCGAGGTTGATAGAGTTCACATGATGGGAAATTGATGGGGTTAAGTAAGTGTTGCTGTAGTAAGACCCGCCCCATCCATCCCCCCACACGTCCCACAACCACTAACTGATGGAGGCAATGAAGGAGGGGGAATGAGGGTTGGAGACAGAAAGGGAAAAGGAGAGATGGAGAGGATGGAGGGAAGGAAGCGATTGGAAGAATGGATAGTGGTAGAGGGGAAAGGGAAGGAGTGGGGAGTAAATGAGCTAGTGAAGTGGGATACGATGTTAGGGTGATTGGAGGATTGATGACGGGGAAGTAGAGGAATTCATTGTGCCAGCTGATGGAAGGTTGATAGTGAGGATTGATGGTGAGAGCAACAGCTCATATCCTGCCAGACAAGAAGTAAGACTTCCACCCCTGACAGGACCTTGTTTTGTCGAGTGCAACCAAATTTATGGTTCACTTGCATTAAAGACAACAAGAGGCGGTACCTAATGACGACTCTCACTATTCCCATGTCTCTGAAAACTGGAAGTTTATTGCATATTAAAACTCTCTTTTCCAACCATAGTTCACTAAATTACGGTATTAGTTTCAAACAATGATTTCTCAGGTTTAAGACGTTATCTAAAGTCTAAAATGGAACGTTAATGAACAATCTATAGGAGCAAATAATTTTAAAGACAATTATTAAGTTGTACTTAAAAATACAGATAACTTAATTACAGAATAAAGGACTTGATCAAACATATTGTCTTCGTATGTATATTGTGTCCAGCTTCCATCTAAAGTTAGTGTGAAGTTCACACAACTCCCAAACACGTGAACTTTCGTAAGGAATATCGCCATCCTGGCCACTAACGTAAGTTATATATTTATTATGGTAGAGTTTGGAGATTGTAAAGAACGGTATAGTATATTGATTCATTGCTCACAGCAGTGTGGTTCATGTTAAGGAACTGATGGCTGAGGTTTCATGGTGTGTTTGGTGGTAAGGGAGTAATGGTGTGATTTTAGGTTACTGGGGGTTGATGATTGGGATTGAGGGTGGGGGTTGATGATTGGGGTTTCAGGGTGGGGGTTGATGGTGGGGGGGGGTTGATAGTAAGGGGTAGTTGGTGGAGGTTGATGGAGACTGTGTAACGTTAGAAATATCTGTAACAGCATTAACCAAAAAGTTTATCTCCTGTGTAACACCAGGAGCGTTGATCGCAGCATTAACCACAACACTTCTCTTCTTTGAGATGGCAGAAACGTTCCCCACAGCATTAACCATTTTCCCCTTCTGCCTGACTACAGGAACGTCCTAGTGGGCTCTGGTCATCTCATCAAGATCAGCTGCGTGGGCTCGTGCAGGTCCCTCTACGCTGGGGATTACTACACCAGCGACATCCAGCACAGCCCACTGCCCATACGATGGATGAGCTGGGAAGCCCTCTTCCTAGTAAGTACCTACAGCTCCTTGTTAATTACATCCCGTAAGGGGTAATTGCTGGGGTCTTATTGGTAGATACTAAGCAGTAATTGCTAGGTATCGGAGTCTTGCAGATAAGTGATAGGCTCTCCCAGTCATTAATCATGAGTGTACTTTATATAATATATATATATATATATATATATATATATATATATATATATATATATATATATATATATATATATATATATATATATATTAGTATGTGTTTTATGAATAAATCACATATGCAAACTCTTTTTTTTATCTTTATTGTCTCCATTACTGATATCGTCTGTCTTATCAGACACAGTTATATTGTTTATGATTCTCTCTCTCTCTCTCTCTCTCTCTCTCTCTCTCTCTCTCTCTCTCTCTCCTCTCTCTCTCTCTCTCCACTTGCTTATTACAGTCTTCATAAACCAATAAATTCATCTCTGCGTATTATTAATAAGAACTTGCATTTTATTTTGCATTTAAATTCTCATTTCTTTCAGCAACTTTGATACAGCTATTGTAAGTGTTGCCTCACCTTTCTCAGGGTCACTTCAGTAGCCGCAGTGACGTCTGGTCCTTCGGGGTGACCCTGTGGGAGATGCTGACCCTGGGGCGCCAGCAACCCTACGAGCGCTTGTCTGACGACGGCGTCATCGAGAACCTTGCTCACTTCTACCACGACGATGGCGGAGAGGTCAGTCTGCCACATTAACCACAATAACCCCATAGGAGTTATTAAGCGTAATTAGTGATAAAGGCCTGGTCATGGACATGGCCGACGGGGCGTTGACCCCCGGAACACACCTTCCAGGTATCCGTTCGCTAATCGCGATTTTTTTTTTCCGGTAAGGATGTTATTGGTCATTCTCCCTGCTAGATTCCGTACAGGTGAACAGGGGCAAGTTCCTAACCCCCGTTGCCATTGTTCGACTAGCAGGAAATAGGTACCTGGTTATTACTCTACAGCCAAAGGTTGCATTCCTGAGATGACAAAACGATGATGTTCTCTAAGAGGAACCGAAGATATCAACTCTTAGCTTGTATATAAGGCACGAGGAAAAAATCGACCGTGACTTTGTATAATAACTGAACTCGACATGATTTCACGAGTTCCTATTTCCCTGTGTGTAAACTAATATATTATTGATTGACATAGGTAAAAAAAAATAATTAGAAATCAAATTTATCAAATATCTTACACAAGGGTAAACATTGTTCTAATTACAACTCATCTATTTTGTTTCAGATGTTCCCCAGCCAGCCTGCCTTGTGCCCTAAGGAGTTATACGACCTGATGCAGGAGTGTTGGAGACGCAACGAGGGAGACAGACCTAACTTTAGGGACATACACGTCTTCTTGCAGCGTAAAAACCACGGCTACACTCCGGAGGCGTGAAGAATGAGGTGGATGACTCTGTATGGCAAGGATAACGAAGTGATTGTCACAAGAATCGGATAAAGTATTCATAGGTCTTTACCTAATACTTGGTGTTGGGAGAATAGCCCAAAAAGAGAGAGATTTAACAACTGCATAAAGCGGGGAAGGGTACACACGGGCTAAGTACTTCACGTAAAAAAAATAACGAGGAGGTTACTGAATGAGTTTTGGGTCAGTTTCATGAGACAGACGGAGTTGCTGATGGCGAACTTGAAGATTTATAGTGCAGATTGTTTTAAATGTGTTGTGAGAGAGTGACTGGAACTCAGCAGGTGTTACAATGTCTGTCTCCAAACGTTTGTAAGTGTAGACGATGCCATAAGACAATCTAGGTACGATGTAGTATTAGATATTAGTGAAGCATCGAGTCTCCTCAATGTGTTTCAGAGTGATTATAAGGTGTGACACTCAAGTCCGGAGAAACTGCCAGAGTATCAGTCAGATATGAATCTTACTGAAGTATCAGTGAATGAACAAGAATTATAAGTGTCAGATATTAATATTAGTTACATTGATGATAGTGATAAAACAGTTCCAGTGAAGCTTTTTGCAAATGCTGGTTATCATTGTGGTATTGTAATTTTTGCTCATCCCTGACACGGTATTGAAGCCCTCGCGAGTTTGGTGGCATTATCAAAACATTACTACTGATGGACAAAACAGTGCCACTGAGAAAACAGTATTAATGACAAGGCAGTGTGAGAACAAGACTAATAACCAGACAATATCTGTGACAAGACAGTGATAGCAACAAAACAATGCCGTCGATAATAACAGTGGGTTACAGAAGCAGAACCTTTAACAAAATCAGCATCAGCTAATAAAAACAGTGCCAGTGACACAAAAACAGCCAATTAAAAAAATGCAGCGAATTACAAACAAGTGCCAATATAGTACCAAGCATTAGAGAGTTTCACCAACCTGTTTCTGGAAGCTTTCTGTGTTTTATACCCTACCAAACACCGTGTCACGTCCCTTCCCCAACTCCTCAGCCCAATACACAATGAAAGAAGGAATTGTTTGTGACACAAAATAAACTCAAAAGGTCATCCGCCGAAATCCAGTAACGCAACGAACGAGTAATGAAATAACAATACATTCAAGGGATTTATTAATTAATAGGCACTGAATCAAAGGTGTATCAGCCATTACATAGGTAAACTAGAGTGCCAGCATTAGAAAGGTGCTCTGGTAGAAAGGTAGAAAGAAGCTACCTGTCTTTTCTGGCTGGACGAAAAGAGGGAGGAGGAGGAGGAGGAGGAGGAGGAGCTGATGCATGATGACAAAAACCATTGTATGTTTTGGTCACCCATTTGTTTCTCTCCTAGTGAGGGTATTTGTTTATTCACGTGTTTCATGTATACTGTGTAACGAATGGATATTTTACCATACCCGCGAAAACTCAATGACATTTGGTATAATCCCCTCTTTTTAGTGTCGTGATGGTGTTTATCATATTATGTATGCGTGTATGATTACTTGGTCTGTACTTCACCCTGCTGATACATAATTAGGAGGGCTTCTCTAGTGTCTTACGGATCAGCTGATACCCGTGACTTATACGTGCCCAAAGTGAACACCATAGGGAAAGAATTAATTGGAAAAAGCAATACGATTGGTGACCTTTTCTTGTGCCTCCATGTTTGGCCAGTTAACCGAGAGAAAGTGTGTATGTGTGTGTGTGTGAGAGAGAAGAGAGAGAGAGAGAGAGAAGAGAGAGAGAGAGAGAGAAGAGGAGAGAGAGAGAGAGAGAGAGAAGGAGAGAGAGAAATACATACATCAGTTACAACCACTGGTTAACGTATTCTTTGTACATTCTTATTACTTTTCTGTTTCTCTGTGATGGTCATCTCAGTGAAGACCAGACCAGCGACACTGCTAAGATTTTCCCGAGGTATAGAGATGGCGGTGCTGGAAGCGACAATCCAGGCAGGAAGACTTGATACCGTAAGCAGGACATCTCGAAGATCATTGCTGGGTAAAGCGGAAGTCTTCAGTCTTTCTCCCGTGCTAAGCTGTTACAAGCGGTGAGGGGAAGCCGTTCCTGCCTACCCTCTTGACTAACCGGCTCCATTTGAGAAAAATCTCTATTTTCGACACTTTCTTAATTTTCTTCTAATCAACCATCCCAACGGTTCTCATTTGCATGAAATGCATGAAAGTTAAGAATTTATTTTACATAATATATATATATATATATATATATATATATATATATATATATATATATATATATAATATTATATATAATATAACTCAAAACCTCTTGTGATGCTGATCGGAAAGCTTTAACAAGTTAGTTCATTACAAAGGGGCAGATAATGATGGTTCCACCAAGATTATTGTAAAAGTTTTGGCTAATCATTTCTTATAGTTTTCCTAACTGTTGCTTGCAAGTTTAATTCTCAACAGCAGTGGAGGAAGGACACGTGCTACAGAGCAAGCTTTCTTTGTGATCATTTTTCTCTCTGTGTAGAACTTTATCAAGGCATGATTTTATAGATCTCTTCAGAGAGCGAAACGTTCTAAAAACAAAAGTTTGTTCTGTAAGAAAGCTTTTTTCACCGTGCGAAACAGAGCTGCACGGCGGTCGTGAGTGTCGAGTTTTGGGATCAAGCTGATTGAGTGGGAGTCTTCCCAATAAATCTCAATTTCTGAGTATTCGCGGTTCCGATTTGTTTCACCTTTATTAAATGTAAATATATACCTTTTAGATTTTACAGCATGCCACGCATTGTTTAAAAAATCTAACCTGAGCGGTTCAGTATATATTATGACGTAGTTTTCAAACCATTTTTGGCCATATTTAACTCAGTATTTTACCAAAATAGTTATCATATGGTTTAAGGTACAAATATAGATTTTTTTTTTTTCGTTTGACAATCGGTCTCTAACTTCGCTCGTGCCTCTCCTGCGGTAACTTATTTTCTATGATTTTCTTCAAAAGAATCAGTAAATTATTCAGGAAGTTGATCACACAGCTGTCTCTTCTCCCCTTCGTTATTAATCTCTTTCGTAAACAGATATATCATCTGCCTCCGCCACCCACTTGATTAAACTCTAATATAAATTTACCCACTGTCAGTCTTCACATAAAATATTTCGTTTACATGTATTTATCGAAATAAAAACTAAGGTTAAATGTTCGCTAAGTCTGTTATATTCACTATGAGTTAGACGAAATCTGAATGTGTCAGTTTTAGTGAACATGACATCGCATAAGTACATTATTAATGAACCAGATATCCTCACATCAAGCATATTCACCCCCATCTGATGTAACCTTCAACTACTGCCTACCGCCACAGCATCGCTGGATCAGTTGCGGAAACAAGGCAATCAAATTTCACTGCCTTTTCGTAGCATTATGTACAGAGTAACGAGACTAGTCAAAAACATTACTACGAATATTATTAAGATAATCATGTTTTTTTTTTTTTTGCTCCTGATGCCGTAATGTGTCTCCGCCGTTACCCTTATGTGTTACCTTTGATTATCTTTAATGTAAAGGAGAAGTAAAGTTCCTTTCTCACCTCATTTGCGTATAAAACTTTCGGCCGTTGAGTCTGTCTTCGGCAAGTGCATGTTTGCGGCTCCTCGTTAGGCTGCAGAAAGTAAACATATATATATATATATATATATATATATATATATAATATATATATATATATATATATAAAAGTAACCTCTGAAGGGACTATATATATATATATATAAGGTACCCCATTCAGTATAGATTAATATTCCTATATATATATATATTATATATATATATATATATATATATATATATATATATATATATATATATATATATATATATATAATTTTTTATATTGTTTTTATATTTTATTTAATATTTTTAATAATCTTATAATATTATAGAAGTGTATGATATTTATCATATAATGTAAATATTTATACATTGTTTATTGCCTTTTGATTTTACTTGTGGTAAGCTTATAAATACATCGGTGGGATGATTTTCATTTAATGAAAATATTACATGTCAGGCAGTTCTGAGTATAAACATGTGAACATTGTTTGGACAAATAAAAAATAACCAAAGCTGACAACATTTTGAAAGGTTGCCTACTAAGGACAAGCTCACTAAGAAGGACTCTTCTAGTATGTGGCTCCCATAAATTAGCGTTTGTTTTGGATAGGATTTATTGCGACAAGGTTAGCTTATAATAAATTTTCAGTGAAATAGAGATATCTTTAATCGAGTTCATCTTTAATAGGGAATTTTTGCTATCTATAACAGGGCTCCAGTATAACAGTGAGCTACTTGCAATGGGGTTCATTTCTATTAACTTGAAATCGATGGGGTTCATTTGGAATATGGGTTCACTTGTAGCTTGGTTGATCTTTAATTGGGTTTTTCTGAAATAGTGATAACCTGAAACCAGGCCCAACAGTAGTAAAATTCACCTGTAACAGGAATTTCATATGATAAGGTTTATTTATCCAAGTGTTCACATATAACATGTGGCCTGTGCAATACTAGTCACCTGTGCATGCTACCCTGCACAGATGAATAACTAGAAAGAGAATTAACAGCCAATAATGAGTGTCAGGCCAGACAAAAGAGTATCAGTGGTCTGCACCAGCTAACCATTTATAGTTATCTAGGAGAAAACTGTTTACAGTCTACCTTGAACGATGGAATTCTACTCTGGAACCTCGACTCTTATACTCTTGAATGTGATAAATGATTGTGTGTCTAAATGTATATAAAGGTATTTTTGTCCTTAGAATATAAATAAAACGTGAGTTCATCAATAAACATGACCTCATTTTTTTAAACTATCTCTCGTACGGAACAGATGTAATTTAATCTGTTTACGTTTTATTTGAGCATGGAACAGATGTTGGGTAAAAAAAAGATCTTTTACTTAAAATCGTCATGTGTATGGAACGGATGTTGAAGAGTTGCTAACTTTTGGGGTGTCACCTTAAGGTGACATTCTTACGCTATTGGACCTAGCTATGTTGGTTTTTTATACTAGTAATATAGGTACCAGGTGACATTAGAGAATGTGTAGGTGGCCAAAATGAATTTTGTCACGCATGTCGAAGATGGTCGCGAGGATGTAAATCCTTGGCTCTGGCCCTGTGATAGCACCTACTGAGAATCATCAGCTGTTTTTGTAGTGATAATTCATGATGTCCCTACTAAAATCTCAATCTGTATGAGAGAGAGAGAGAGAGAGAGAGAGAGAGAGAGAGGAGAGAGAGAGAGAGAGAGAGAGAGAGACTAGGTTGTGGCAGTGCTGCAAGCAATGTTCATCTCATCTCGTGCCAATATTTGTTGTTTAATGTGTAAAAATATTCTAATTTGTCCTGAATCCTTCGACTAGACACGATAAACATCATTGTAAATTGTTTTCACAGACCCTGTAGTATGTTTGGATGAGTGAGTGCGAGCGTCAGTGTTGACGAGCGTGTGTGTGTACGTTCGAGGGAAGAAGTGCTCGAGATAAACTAGGAAGGTGGCAGGACACAGTGGTAATGCCTTTCCTCTCATATGGGTGCCGAGGACGTCATCAACACTCAAAATGCTATACTCTTTATGAAGACTTGTGTCTTGTATACAATAATCAAACGTGGTTTAGTTATACCGTAGATTTATTAACGAGTTGAAAAAAAAATAGTGCTTATAGCAATATTTATCAATTATGTTATATTTAGGAATAGTGTAAAGTATAGAGACTATATTAAAACACACCTGAAAGACCTCTTAATTATTCCTTAGGTTATTAAATTGCTTGCCTTATTTAATCAAGAATAGTATTATCATTATATGTAAAATTATTTAATTTAATAAGGATGCTATGTTAATATTTTATACTGTAAATTGTGTGGAGATGTTTGGGTATCGTCCATACAGAGTAGTCAGAAATATTTCATCATTTGAAGGTAGCATTTGAAATCTTAGCAAAAAATTGGTCTCGACATAGTGTACCTCGGCACATACGAACCTTGGCACTATATTACTTTGGCACCTTAGAAACTTTGCACTATATTACACTGACTCTTTGGCACTTTAATACCTTGGTGCCTTGTCATATTATTACTTTTGTATCTTGGTACCATAGCATCTAGACACTTTGAATATACTTTGACACATTGTACCCCGATACCTTGGTACCTTGATATAATGGCACCTTCACTACCTTGGCACCTAGACACTGTGGTATTTTGGCACTTTGGCACCTTGACCTCCCTTTGAG